ATGCCTGCCAATGATGCCATCTCATGCCACAGAGTCTGGCATTGAAGTCCCCAAGAAGTAGTAACTTGTCAGCTCTAGGGACACGTGATATCAATGAGTCGAGTTCTTCGTAGAATTTGTCCTTTGCATCATCAGGATTCGTTATGGTAGGTGCATATGCACTAATTAAGGTTACATGCTGCTTGTTGGAGAGTGAAAGCTGCAGGGTCATGAGTCTGTCATTGACACCTTTCGGTAAACATTCAAGATTCCTTACTAGGTTGGACTTAATAGCAAAACCTACTCCAGCTTCACGACGTTCTTCTTGTCTTCGTCCACACCAGAAAAATGTATAGCCAGCTCCCCTTTCCGTGAGTTGTCCTTCATGAAGACTGGGACTAGGTCGTCATGGAGTATAGACGTCTTCTTTAGAGCTCCATAAAATCCCGTTGTTACTGCCTTTCTCTTTAGACAATTTTTGGTGCAAAAACAATATTCATAACMAGCTATGACTAGAGGAGCTAGAAAACCTAAAAAGCCAGACACTGAAGCTGACGAAAGTCTCAGCGACAAACACGAACAAGAGCAAAAYGAACATGAACAACATGGYGCTGAGAACGTCGACCAATTTMAAGAACTAAAAGCTATGGTAAYYAGCGGCTTTAGTAACGTTAACTCAAAACTTGACAGTTTCCAAAAAGAGCTGAAAAACGAAGTGAGAGAGCTAAAAGAAACCATTAAGGGCATCGAACAAAGTCTTGATACTACAAGCAAAGACCTAAACGACCTAAGAGTAGAGTTTGGGAAAGAAACGCTCAAGACAGACTCTGAAGTTAAATTTCTTAAAGAAAAAATTACCGTATTAGAAGAAAGATTGAACAAGGAAGTTGAACAGAACATAAACTTGGAGCAGTATACCCGAAGAGAAAACTTGCGCTTTAACAACATCGATGAATCACCACGTGAAGACTGTAAAGCGATTGTTCAACAGATTTTGGAGGAAGACTTAGAATTGTCCATCTCGGATATACGCTTCCACGCCGTCCACAGAGTTGGAAAACCAAACCCAAATAGAACCAGACCCATTATTGCTCGCTTCGTTTGTAGAGAAGATCGGGACAAAGTATGGTCACGAAGGAATAAGATTAAAGATTCTGTCCTATACAGTGATCCTGATGTAACTGAGGACTATGCTAGAGAAATCCAGAAGGAGCGAAGAACCCTCATTCAAGCAATGCTGAAGGCTAAAGAACAGCATGTAAGTAACGCTAAAGTCCTTGGACGATATCTATTTATTAACAACGAACGATACACCGTCAAGAACATTCCCGACTATCTTAAATAGAATTATATATATATTTACAATGTTTAGGTAATTTTCTTTTTTCTGCTCTTTGTCTTAAAATGCACCTAGAAAAAATTTAGGCATTTCATCGATATTTTTCCCTTTTGGTCATCTAATTAACGATCTCAAGAGAATCTCAGTCAATGATTAGGCTTTTTAGAAAAATACCTTTTGTTCTTTTTGTTCTTTTGTTTAGTAGCAGTACCTCTAGAATTTTATGTTCCACATGGCTTCCAAGGATAAATGACTACTGATGTTAAGATATGTTCTTTGAATGTTAGGGGTTTAGGGAATATTTTGAAGAGAAGAGAAGTTTTCAACCATTGTACCTCAGAAAATCTTTCCACCTGGACGACAGAGTGGGGATATAAAACTTTGCTTGGCGGTCTTTCAAGTAAAAGTGGGGGAGTCTCGATTTTATTTAACAACAATTTTGCCTTTCAACTGTTAAAAATGCATGCTGACCCTGATGGCAGGTATATTAAATGTGATATTAAAACAAATGACAAAATTATAACACTAGGAACAATTTATTCTCCAAACGACGACAATCCAATTTTTTTTGAAAAATTTTCGGATACCTTAAAAGATTGAAGATTGTGCTAGGCTACAAAGTAGCTGAAGTACAATCAGAATTCTATTATTGTTGCACGAAGAATTCACTAATTGGTCTTGGCCATAACTAACTAAAAAACCAAAGTCATTAAAAGCTTATTTATTTATTAAAGAAAAAGAGCGCGAAACTAGCGGCTAAATAAGGACCACTAGTCCATATATGGAAAGAGCATCCCATAAGGCCATGCACGTAAACTAGGACGGTGGCCATTTGAACTTATATCAGTCACAATTAAATACACACAAATGATGAAATGAAATGTTTATTGCAACAATAACAAAAATGTGACGTCCAGTAATGTCAAAATGTCCAATCTGTCAACCACCTGAGGACAGAATAAAGTAAGGTTATATATAACCTCATCTAATAAAGGAATGAAGAAAACCGAATAGGCTTTGCAGAGCAGGAATGTCATGTGGGAGGGAGGGAAGGGTAGATTAGTGAATTCTTCGTGCAACAATAATAGAATTCTGATTGTACTTCAGCTACTTTGTAGCCTAGCACAATCTTCAATTCTATAACATGTTGCACTCAGAATTCACTAATTGGTCTCGTTCAAAGCTACTGACCTATGACAGGACTGCTCTGCCAAAAGAGCTTGAATAAGTCTGGCGATAATAGAAGCGATTGAATGTTGTCTCTCTAGACCAATCTGCAGCATTCAAAATGTCCTGAACCGAAACTCCACTTCTTCTCGCTGAAGACGTAGACGCACTCCTTGTGGAATGTGCCTTGAAGACACACGTATCTACTCCTGCCTCCTTTAGGACGTCCTTCAACCATCTCCCAATAGATGCTGTAGAAATAGCAGTAAAAGGTTTTTGTACTGACAAAAACAGTTGATCATTAGCATTGTGCAACCGGTGACGTTGTGTCCGTTTAATATACTCTTCTAAACACGACACTGGACACAGCTTAGCCTTATCTCTAAAGGCAGGGAAGAAAAAGGTAACATCTTTCCCTGGGGCTCTAGTTTTAGTCAAACCGGGGATCTTAAATTCAACTCCTTCAGGTAAAGATCTCATAAAATTCAGATCTATGGCATGTAGATCAGACTGACGTTTTGCACTTGTAAG